ATATTTTAGTTCATTAGCTATATTATTAGCTATATATTGCTTTTCGTGTCTTTTTCCTTCTATTGTATCGATAATTGTGGAAACAATGAAATCCTGATATTTCCTGACTATAATCCTGGCACCAAAATTTAATATCTTGAAATCCCTACTCGTGAGCAGAAACCTTGTCTCTAAAGTCGGAGTCAGCAGGAAATCATCTGGTGGATTGTTTATTCCTTATGGGGTTTCCCTGGAGCTGCCGGCCGGTATATACCAGACTGAATTAATAGACCGATAGGATTGAGGTTAGCCTGTAAGAGAAGCTGTTGATATTGAATGGAAGTGAATATTTACTTGAAGCAATATGTACCATTTAGAGATTGATTATATTTCATATTAGAAGATAGGTAAACATACCACAGTATAGGATATTAATCCTTTATTGTGGTCTGTGTTCAGTAGTGATTTATAAGCTCCAATGCTTTTGTTTTCAGCCAATTCAAGCTGCTGAGTTAATTGACTCGGAGTTCCGACCGGGCATGAGCAATCGTCAGAAGAATAAGGCGAAGAGGATGGCTAAACTAGTGGCGAAACAACGATCCAGAGACATGGATCCAAATGAAAAGAGGTAGGATAATGCAAACTGTGTACCAACAATGTTTTACAATGGATGGAGAGTTCTATTATCTAGACATCCTGGGTAGAGTTTATTATTCTGTTTTTGCCCTTTTTTTCTAATACACATGGAAGGTGGTTTCTTAAGCTACGGTCAAACGTGGTTCCATCAGTGCTCAAGGCTTGGTCTCATTTCATCTTGTCAGATCGGGGGCTTTATATGCAAAGTTGATGTAGTTCTAATAATACAATGATTTCTTTCTCCTCTAGTAATGACAGTTTTGAGGGTGAACCTGAAGAGAAAAGAAGGAAAACCACCAATGTAGTTATTGACCAACCAGCAACGGAGCATAAAGTCTTAATCGACAACGTTCCAGATAACTCCTGTCTTTTAGAAGAGGTAAGAAATCAAAAACAAGCCAAGTGCTTCATGATTTCCCTGCATTATTTGAAGGTCCAAAAGCACACCTAAAGAACTCAGTGGTTACTCAAAATTGATCAAATGCGTTTACATTCGATACAGTGAGACATTAGGTCATTAATTATTTCTTCCTCAATTTAGTTATGTCCTGAATAGGGATGGGACGACGCATCGACATGATCAATAACGTAAATATGACGATTTGCGGAACTTGCGTCAACGCTTTGTAAGTGGCTGCGCACAGTCAAAGCATAGACTCACCTGACGAGTGAGCTGAAGCGAAAAAAATCACCCAAGATCATCTAGGTTAGGTCCCCAATAGGTGGACCACGGTCCGGACTGAACCCAGATGCTGTTTTATATGGACCCAGACTGTGACAGAGCATTTCAATTTTAACCTGTGCAACTTTTTCTTGCCTTTACGGTAGTCTCTTTTTAACCAGTGCAGCTTTTTCCGTATTTAGGGTAGTACATCCTGGCAGTACACGGTAGAGTTTACTTCTGTCACTGAACAAGAGGAAGTGCAATGTAGTTATATATTTAGAAAAAAATGATTGTTGGCGTTAGAGCTCGGTGAACCTGTGTATCTTCGTGTCTGACCTCTGTCACACTGGACCAATCAAGTAATATTTAAAATTGACACATGATAATATTCACTAGCTTATGCTGTCGGAAAATGCAATGTAAACTATGAATGGTATAAACTCCTCTATTAAGTCAGTGGTGTAGCAGCTTTTGTAAGCAGGTCGTCTGGTTCACTTTTAGCACAGCGATCATTGGTTACATTGGTGCAGCACTTGTGTTATCATCATTATGCTGCTATCAGTCTTTCTGTTCCTGCTTGGGCTGAATATTGTAACATGTTATTTGCACACATGTGCTAAAAACATTTCACAGTTTGCACACCACTATTTTTAGTTGCATGTGTGAGCTCAACCCTCACACTCTGAAATGGTATAATTGACATTATAAAAACTGGAAATTATCTTAAGGTACTACTGAAGTGTAACTGATGTCTTGTTTTCTTTTGACACGAGTGGCCTCTGGAGAGCTTCTGTGAGGAACTTTGCAATGACCTCTTCAATCCTTCATGGGAGGTAAAGTATTTTTGAAATTGCATTATATCCTATACACACGTTTGTGTTTATATAATAACTTAAATGAGACCATAAAATGTATAAACCTGCTCAGGAAGAGCTCCCATTTAACACCTTTGTATTTGACTGATGCAAGATTTATGTAAACGATAAATTGAATTGTATGTGGTTGTTTACAGATTCGTCATGGTGCAGGCACAGGTCTTCGAGAAATCCTTAAATCCCACGGTGCTGGAGGTGGGAAGTTGGTGGGAAGCACTGTTGAACAGGTATTTCTTGTTCTCAGGATTTTCAACATTTTGTTGAGAATCAAACACAGCAAGAAATGTCTGGTGTTTTTGTTTCAGATGTTGCGGCAGCATCAGGAGTGGATAGAAGACCTGGTGATCCGGCTGCTCTGTGTCTTCGCTCTAGACCGCTTTGGGGATTTTGTATCTGATGAGGTAGGTCTTTAAGAACCTTTTAATTAGCCTAATTTACATTTAAGTCACATTTCCTAGAAAACACATTAGGTCCTAGACATGTTACATGTATGGGATGTGAGAAAATATGAAACTTATACTCTATTGCTCTGTTTTTTATCCATCTTATATCTCTCTCCCTATCCCAGGTGGTGGCTCCTGTCAGGGAGACGTGTGCCCAGACGCTTGGAGTGGCCCTTCGCCACATGAATGAAACTGGTGTTTTGATGACAGTGGATGTTCTGCTAAAGCTACTTAAAGAAGACCAGTGGGAGGTCCGTCATGGAGGCCTGCTGGGAATCAAGTATGCCCTGGCTGTCCGACAGGTACCACCTGTTTTCTGTGAAAATGATGAGCTGTTAAATGAGCACAGCAGGGTTCTACAATGTATTTGTTTGAGCACCGCATGGTCATGAATACAAACTGTAGGGCAGGATGAGTTCATGGACTAAAAGCTTTTTTTTGGTCTGGTAGCATATGAGCTACTTGTGGAGAGATGTCATTCTAAAGGCCATTCTCTCCGATCTCATAGCTGTATATGGTGATGTTCATCTGTCTCTTCCTTTGTGTTCCTCAGGACTTGATCTCTGTGTTACTTCCCCGGGTTCTCCCTGCCATCACTGTAGGCCTTCAGGACCTAGATGATGATGTCAGAGCTGTGGCAGCTGCATCCCTCATCCCTGTGGTGGAAGGCTTGGTACAACTACTGCCCAATAAGGTCAGAGAGGCAAAAACAGGCTTCCCTTAACAATTGCATTTTCACTCTCCGTTGAAGCAATTTTTCATACTGTCTCCATTCTGTCTTAAAATTCCTCCCAGGTCCCCAATATAGTGAACACACTCTGGGATGCTCTTTTAGACCTGGACGACCTCACTGCTTCCACCAACAGCATCATGACATTGCTGTCCTCATTACTCACATATCCACAGGTCCGACAGTGCAGGTCAGTCTCTGAAGGCCACATAACTACTGCTGTCTCAAAATGATACTAAATATTTTCTTGAATAAAGAGAGGATATATATCAAAACAGAACGACACAGCCAGCTCACTAACCACACCATATACTGTAATACTGGAGTAACCTTAAGAGGGAATCTAATGTTTGAATGTAGTCTAGATGCTAGATATCTTAGGTTGTGGCCATTAAGACAAGAAAGTAAAATGTTTTCAGAAATTAGAGAATTTGATTTAAAATATACATATAGGTCAGACACTTTTCTGACATGCTCATAATCTACTGCCAATCCAGGTCCCTCAGATCATCAAGCATGTTTCCTTTAACGTACCTAGAATTAAAACTAAATCTCTTGTTTAATGTTTCCTATATGTTACTGTAAAGCACATATAGTTTATCGCCGTATGAATTGCACTGTAGCCATAAAATAGATTAAATAGAAGGATTTCTGGTATAAAAGGAAAATAAAATGATGTCAGCTGCTGGAGCACATTTATGCATGCTGGCTTCTTCAATCAGTAGATCTTGTAGCTCTTCTCGGTATGTAAAGCATGCAGCTAAGGCAGGTATTTGGGTTACTGTCTGACATGTGGAATGTACTTTTTACATAATGTTACAAATGGCCTTAACCTACCTCATGTTTCTCTAGAAACTCTGTATCGGCCCATCTATTTTGTCATGCTGTATGGTTGTGTTCCACTTCCAATGAACCACTGAGCAGACATGTTCAAAACACACATTTTTTTACTCTGACTCAAAAGTCAGTGCTAATCTAACTAACCTTGTGATTATTTTATTCAGATCCTTTTTTTTATTATTATTTTTTTTGAGCTGACAATCTTAGAATTTCTTATTTTCATACACTGTCTTGTCCACTCTAGCATGCAGCAGTCATTAACAGTCCTGGTTCCCCGGGTTTGGCCGTTTTTGAGACACACTATATCATCAGTAAGACGTGCAGCACTGGAAACTCTTTTCACTCTGCTGTCTAAAGCTGACCAGGTAAATTTGACTCAGAGCAAATGCACATTCATGTAAAATATGAAAATAAAATTGTATCCTATTGATTTTTTTTTAGTTCACAGCTTTAATAGTAGCTCATATTTGTTTTTCTGATGGTGGTGGTTTATGTTATTTATATTCTTCAGAGCTGTGCCATTTGGATCAACCCCATCCTACAAGACATGCTCCGGCACATCTTCCAGTCCTGTATACTGGAAAGCAACGAGGAAATCCTTGAACTGATACAAAAGGTTTGCTGCATCACCCACATGATAACTTCATAGAATAAATTGACCTAGGGAAGCAACATTTCTTAAAATTCCATTTTCAATCAATAAATCAACTTGTTAGTAGCCTATATTCACAAAACTATATATGCCCCATAAAGCCCAATATATGCTTCTGCTTAGAATCTATGCTGTAGCTCCAGCAGAACCCAACGCTGATACCCGATGTGTACCGCCCCAAAATGAAACTATGCTTCAAGGTTACGCAGACTGCACGAGCTTTGATTGGTCCGCTTGGTAGCATCGTATTTCTCACAGAAAGTATTTCTGGAATCTCCTGCTTTGCCTTAGTTGGTTTTATGGTCATACAGACCATCTGTGCATGATCCTCTATCCTTAGCTATTGAGTTGGGGGGGGGTTGTAAGTGAGGATTGCTCTGCCAGCACAGAGAGCAGTGAAATAGATGCTGCATGTAATGGAGCGTGTCAACAAATTACAATATTTAAAACACTCTTGAGAAAAGACTGGGTCTACCATAAGTGGAGCGGTGCATATTCTAAGATTAAATAGGTTTTTTTCTTTACATTTTTTGTGTATGAATGACATTTTGTGCTTTGCGTTATTTTGTATTGCTGTGTGCAGGTGTGGATGGAGCTACTCTCGCAGGCCCCTCAGCAGTACGTGGTTGCAGCCAGCTGTCCGTGGATGGGAGCCTGGCTCTGCCTCATGATGCAGGCCTCACACATTCCCATAGACCTGAACATGCTGCTGGAAGTGAAAGCTCGCTCCAAGGTTGCACTCATTCTTCATAGTTATTCTCAATCTACCATGTTCAGCTGGATTCTCGTGTTTATAGTGAGTACAGGTATGCAGTGGTTATGTCAGTATAATATATCTCAGGATGGTAGAAGATCTGTGTAGCAGATTTTACCCACAAGGTCATGACAATGCAAATGACTTGAAGACATCACACATAATGGATGCACCTCAGCAAGTTTGCTGGACGACAGACTAGAGGACAGTGTGAAGACAATACAAGAATCTTTCAGTCACAGTTCGCCTGATTTTCAGCCGGAGATAACACATTCAACCAACAAGTAACTTTATAGCTGGTTTGTTTAATGAGGTGTAGCTGAATGCTGAGGTGGAATGAATCCGAGTTATGGAAACAGTTTTACTTTCCATGTTCCAACAACTCAACATGTTTGTATATGAAACAGAAGGAGAAGCATGTTTTTATTGCATGATGGAAATAAGATGCCTGTTATTTTGCCACTCTACATTTGTGATGTGCATAAAAATGATGTGTAGTTCTAATTAATTTAACTGTAATGATGAATCTTGTGCTGATGCAGCAGGATAAGGCTGGTGCAAAGGCACGTCTGGGGACCAATCAGGTGAAGGAGACGGTCCAAGAGTATATAGCAGGCGCAGAGACTGTGACAGATGACCCAGTGACGAGGGACTATGTGGTGGTTCGAGCTCGTCTCATGGCTGCCAAGTAAGTTTGATTGTTCCATAAGAAAGAAAATGTTAAATTCTAATATTTGGACAAACTTGCTTCATCTCAAAGAAAAACATGAATTACCAGATACATTGTTTTTAAAGATGCTAACAGCCCTGATGATGTTTCCCTCCTCTCTTTGTATCTCTGTTATTCAGATTGCTTGGGGCTTTGTGTAGGTGTATCTGTGACCCTCAGCTCAATGCTGCATCTCAGGAGATCCGACCAGCTGAGTCCTTAGGCCAGCTGTTGCTCTTCCATCTCAACTCCAAGTCTGCCCTGCAGCGCATAGCTGTGGCTCTGGTGCTCTGCGAGTGGGCTACCCTGCAGAAGGTGAACAGTTTGGGCACTGAGTTTGTTTGTTGCTGCAATGATTACAAAATAAACACCTTTTAGGATGTGAACAGAATCAGGCTTTTAAAGGCCAAATATCTCTATGCATCTTTCCAATTTCTCTCAGGACTGTCAGGTGGTGTCATCCATGGTGCAGCCTCGTCTTCTCGCCATTCTGTCTGAGCAGTTGTACTACGACGAAATTGCCATCCCCTTCACACGTATGCAGAATGAGTGCAAGCAGCTCATTGCGTTGCTAGCTGATTCCCACATAGACCTTCAAGACCGCCTCAATTGTAGTGTTTTCACCATTGACCAAGCCAATGAACTGGTGAGTCAAGTTCATACACTAACGATATGCGATTTTTGAACAGGTATGTGCACCTATAAATATTCCCTTGTCCCCAAGTACCATTCTAGTGTTCACGTTAATTGGGTGTAAAGACTGAAGTGATGCGCCTCTGAAGAATCATCCAACAGGGAAATCTTTGCACACCAATTAATTTTCAAAGCTCCAAAGTACATTTAATCTATAGTGCAATAGAAATTGTTCTGCAGAGAAACCTTGCACACGCAGTTTAATGTGTTTTATTATTCTTTTCATTCCAAAAATTCACAGTCAGTGATTCAGTGGAGTCGAGCAGTGAGGATAATTTTTTTTTGGCCCTCTCACATCTTGATAAAAGTCTGTTCAATCCTGAGAAGCTGCCAGGAACCTGGAGAATTTCATCTTCTCATCAAGGAGCTGCAAAACTATTCTCAAGTCTTTTTCAGGATGTCACCATTATTGAGACATACATTTAAAATTAAATTCTCTGATCCTGATCAGATCAAACTTACTGAAATGCCTTTGAGCAATTTGAAAAATGCAGCGAATAACACCTGAAAACTTCAAAATTAACTTCTGACATAAGAAGTTTTGGTTTCGGTGTGTAAACTTGATTGACACGTCATGGGGCTTTTATTTATAATTTAATTATGGGACAAAAATAGAGACCGAATTAAACAGATAAAGGGAATTTGTCTTGGGAAGACCACCAGTAACATTACTTTTGCAACTAAATATATATATTTGTTTAATATATATATATATATTTTTTTTTTAATATATATATATTTAGCTGTCATAATATTTCGCTGCCATCACAATGACAAGTTTTCCAATTGCCTGACTGTAATTTGTTTTCCAAGTTTTAATTCCCTGCACTGACAGCTCTGGTATTAATGACTTGGTACCCAGCTGATTCTCGGCTCCAAAGGTTAATGGATATTTCACTCTGTAACAGATCGCTCTCTCTCCAGTCACTCACTTCCTCCTCTCCCTTGTTCCCTAGGTAACCACCATCTTTACAGAGTCAACAGCAGGTCTGAATGTGAATTCCAAACAGTGGCAGGCGCTGGATGGTAAACGTCAACAGGCTCAGTCAACGGTGATGGAGACCAGCACAGAATGGCAGCAGCTGCATCTGCGCGTCCACATGTTCACGGCCTGCGCAGTGATTAACCTGCAAGTGCTTCCTGACAAGCTGAACCCTCTGGTTAGGCCTTTAATGGAGACCATCAAGCGAGAGGAGAACACCCTGATTCAGGGTTACACTGCATCTTTCATAGCCAAGCTATTGCAGCAGTGCGCTGGACGCTCACCGTGCCCCAACCCCAAAATCATCAAAAACCTCTGTGCGTCAGCCTGCGTAGACTCTGCAGTCACACCCTCATCGGCCTGCCCCGTACCCCCTACACAGGAAAATGCCAAAGGTAAGAGCTGTTGATGCTTGGGGAAATCTTTAAGTCATTTGACCCAACATGTTGACTTTGCTTGCATGCTGCTGGCTATTTTATCTATTATTTCTCATGCTGTCAGTCAGTGGTTTGGAGAAAGACTGCATGCATCATATGGTCAACAAAACCCGTGGCATCATCACTCTGTACCGTCACCAAAGAGCAGCATTTGCCATCACTAGTAAGAGAGGACCAGCCCCTAAAGCCCCAAAAGCCCCCTCCACAGAGCTCCCTCCTGGCAGCACCATCAGTACTGATAATGATGAGGTAATGGAGGAAGTTCCCCACAAACATATTCCTCACATTTATCTTTTATTCACTACAGGTTGTGTTCAATCAATTTTTTTCCCTATTCATTTTTCCTTTTCAGGGCAGAAAGCCATTTCTCATCCAGAGAAGAGGGGCCGAGTTCTCCCTAACAACTGTTGCCAAGCACTTTAGTGCGGACCTCACCAAGTCTCTTCCGTACCTCTGGGACAACACAGTGGGACCACTGAGGACAGTGGTGACTGAAAATCAATGCATTGGTATGCTGATTGGGTTAATTGGATTTTTAAATCTTCGATAGACATTAGCAGCAGGAATGTCTTGCACTTAATGTGTTTTTGCCGACATGGCAACCTCTAGCTGTACACTTTTAGTTGGTTTTGTAAAAAGCTCAAATACTCTTCAAACAATCATGATAATTGGCTTGTAGACCTCAAGCCTTTAATTGACTTAAATGTAGCTAATTGTAGCATTTTAGGTTTAAAATTCAGATTAAACCTGGAGTTGTCATGAAATCATTAATAGTTTATTTCACTAAGATGACCCACTTGTTAGTGGGCTAATGAACAGCCCATACAGGTTTAAATGTGAACAATTGTTGCAAATGTTTGGACAGTTACACTTAGTCCTTAATGTCAGCACAATTTGAAATGTAGTGGTGGTTTGCACTCTTTTCATCAAACTTTTTTCTGGTTCATGAGGGTGTTATTTTAGGAACGTCCCGAGATAGTCTGTTCAAATTCGGCACATATGTTCTCTTTGACCACCCAAATCCTATCCCCTAATCTGTTAATCTACGGTCACTGTGATTTCATGAGTCTTGAAAAAAAAGTTTATTTAGTTCTAGTTTATCTGTAGAGCTTTGTTCCAGATATCTAATGGTTTCTTGTTTTTACTGCAGCCTGGCCTCTTTGTTTGGGAAGCATTCTTGACTTGCTGTGCAGCCAAAAGGGTTTTTTTCTTAACCACACAAATCATTTTCTGGTCATCCACTAGATTTGTTTCTTAGTCTACCAGATCATTGACATTCTATTTGACACTGAAGAAACACCCAGCTGCCAAAGGATAATTTAGTGGCCAAGTGTCAGATTACTTTTGAACTCTTTGGGTACTTTATGTTTTAAATTGCTTTATCTTTCACACAGTTGTTTCTTTTTGACATAAACTGACTAGATTGTATGTAGTCTTGTTATCTCAGTGACCATGTTCCACTGAATCACTGTGCATCTTTTGTGTGTTCTAGATAGGCAGGTCCAGCTGGAGAGGGGAGACGCTGCAGCTCAGGACCTGGTCAACTCTCTGCAGGTTCTGGAGGTTATTGCTGGGGCCATGGCTTCTGAACTGAAACCTTTGGTATGAATCAGCCTGTACTGCTCTTATGTCTACTTAATCACTTACAAGAGCAAATAAACTGCATTTAGGGTGGCAGCAAAAGAAACTGATGCAGGTGTCTTAAATGACCCTTTATTAAATGTCTGTACTCTCTTCATGCTGTACTGCAGCTGCTGGAGCACCTACCACATCTGTTCACCTGCCTGCAGCATCCGTACACAGCTGTGCGTCACATGGCTGCACGCTGTGTGGGCGTGTTTAGTAAGCTGGCAATGTTGGAGACCATGAACAGTTTCCTCGAGTGTGTACTGCCCTGGTTAGCTGCTATCGATGACTGTACCAAACAGGAGGGAGCCATCGAGGCTTTAGCCTGTATCCTTCATGCAATGACACAGATTCCACTTTCATTATTTAATACCTAGAATGATAGATATGCTGTAATTGTGAAAGTATCAAACATAATACTGTTTAAAAATGAACTGTGGGGATTTGATTTGTCTTTTCTGTACAAAATGTTCCTTGACCAACATCTCAACCAGGTGTCATGGAGCAGCTGGACGTGGACATTGTACCTTACATCGTGCTGCTGGTTGTTCCAGTTCTGGGCCGAATGAGCGACCCCAGTGATAGTATTCGTTTTATGGCCACACAGTGCTTTGCCACACTCATCCGACTACTGCCATTGGAGGTAGGATCAGTCACACCAAAGATTTTAAGCAAACAAAAGAGATCAGCCGCTTATATCATTGTCATCAAGTGTTCTACTTCTGAAGGTAATGTTTTTTCCACTTGTCTAACAGGCAGGTATACCAGACCCTCCAGCCATGTCTGCTGACCTCATCCGCCAGAAAGCCAGAGAACGCCACTTCCTGGAGCAACTGTTAGATGGCAGAAAGTTGGAGAACTATAAGATCCCTGTGCCCATTAAGGCTGAGCTCAGGAAGTACCAGCAGGTGTGTGTCAGGTTTCTGATTTCACTGCATCTCTGCAAAACCCACTCAAGCAGCAGATGAAAGATTCACCCTGTGTTTTTACACATTTTAACAACTTGTGGAACAATCAAGTGATTTGTGTCTGATCTGCCTCTACACCTCGAGCATGAACACTTTTCTGCTAGATTCAGGAATCACTTTAAGGGCTGCAGGCTGGCGATGTAGACAGCAGAGGTGGTGACTCGAAATGGTTTTCCTGACAGAGTAAATTTAAAGCAGTCAGGTGGAGATGGGGTGTGTCTATAAATGTTGGTTGTTGGCAGCTCTGCTGAGCTCAGCCATCCATCTCTTTAATGGAGCAGTGCAGAAATCCACTTAAAATGCTGCTACCAGTGTAACAGCTGTTGGGCAACACAACGCTGCGTGGTTTTCAACAACTACCTTAACTGATGTAGGAGAAGATGTCATTGTGAAACCCTTTGCCGTAACAATGAATAGGCTACTTTTTATTTAAATTATATGTTGGTGTTTTCAGTAATGTTCTGTCTCATCCTGCAGGACGGAGTGAACTGGCTGTCCTTTCTTAACAAGTACAAGCTGCACGGGATCCTGTGTGATGACATGGGTCTTGGAAAAACGCTGCAGTCCATTTGCATTCTGGCAGGAGATCACTACCTCAGGTACGCAGTCCAAACAGCTCCATTAGTGTTGCAGTTGTGTGACTTTAAATTGTACAGCCTCAGTACACTGACTCATCACCTCTGTAATTGAATGACACATATTGAACCATTTAGAGGAAACATCAGTAACGTGGCTGTATCTAAGAACATTCATGATTAAACAGCTGAATAAGTTCTTCACAAGAAGCTTCTATATATTGGTGTATGTCACCAGTGTCGTATACTGACATACTATTACCACTGCTATAGCTAAATCACTGAAAGTACTACTACTTAATCACAATATTCTTTCCTTGTATTTTTTATTTACTGTAGAAACTGAAAACACAGACACAATCCATATATATATCTATAGGTGTTTTCAGAAATTGAAGAACTCGGGATAATCTCCTAAAATTATCTGAAGGAGCTGTATGTGACAAGTCAGTTGCTGCAGACAGTCTCTGGAGAATGTCGGAATGAGAGGATTTGAGAATACAGTGGAGATTATCTGTGGGCAAGTTGATTATCTTCCTGACACACAATTGACACAAAAATGAAAAAGAGGAGCCATACATTTTGAAGTCGTAAATGTGGAAAGACTCAACTTTTGCTAACTTTAGTTGATAAGAGCCGACGCCGATCTCCACATGCCGTAAACAAAAACATGAGATTTCTGCAGCAGAGTTTAAACATTACATCCTGCCTCTGCCTGCTGCACCACCACTTACCTGAATGCTCTGGAGATTTCTTTGCTGTTGTCAACAGGTCTCTGCAGAGAATCTCCTGCTGCGTTGTTGGTTTGTGATGTCTGGGGGGAAAAAAACTTCAGTCAAAGATAACATTTCTCATTAAAGTTGAACCACAGTTAGTTTGGCCTGATTTTAGTTCTAAAAAACAACAAAATCTAAGCTCTATGTTAAACACCGTCAGTCTGTAAAAGTTTGGTATAAGATACCTTTTACTTGTCAAAATGCCAGATACAGTACAAACATTAGACAAAGCAGAGTTTGAAATTCAACGGCCATTAGTCCCAGTTCTTATCCACTGGTCTGATCTCATGTTCATCTTTGTCCTTTTCATAGTGTTGTGTAGATAAACTTGACTCCACTGTGTGTGTGATGTTCTATTTAGGGCTCAGGAATATGCCAAGACTACGGCTGCAGACTGCAGCCCCCTGCCCTCCCTGGTGGTTTGTCCTCCCACACTGACTGGCCACTGGGTGGATGAAGTGGGCAAATTCTGCAGCAAAGAATACCTCAACCCTCTGCACTACACTGGGCCTCCTACTGAACGAATGCGGTAAGGATTAGTCAGTTTACTGCAAGACAATGATTCATGTGCCCTCAGCTAATCTTATGTAATGAAGACTGGGTTCATTATTATATAATATGTTTATTATTGTCATTTTGTTTGCAGCTAATTTATAAGCTTACATCCACTTAATGGGATTCATGAAACTGAATGTAATATTTACTTTTTCAGGTTGCAACACCAAGTGAAGAAACACAATCTTGTTGTGGCCTCTTATGATGTTGTGCGAAATGACATTGACTTTTTTAAGTGAGTACTGTTCCAGTAATGATTTTGAGTTTCAGAGGTGGGTGTCCCATTCTAAAACATTTTTTCAAACTTTTCAGAAATATCAAGTTCAATTACTGTATTCTTGATGAGGGTCATGTCATCAAGAATGGGAAAACCAAACTTTCCAAAGCCATCAAGCAGTTGGCTGCCAATTTCCGAGTCATCTTGTCTGGAACTCCAATTCAGGTGAGATGCCATTTTAGATCAAATTAGCCTTTTAAGTTATTTTATTGTTTACCAGTCAATTAATTATTATTTTTTGTCCTGCCATTTTTACCTTCAGAACAATGTCTTAGAGCTCTGGTCATTGTTTGACTTCCTCATGCCGGGGTTCCTTGGAACAGAGCGGCAGTTTGCCGCACGTTATGGTAAACCCATCCTGGCGAGCCGTGATGCCAAAAGTTCCTCACGGGAACAGGAAGCAGGTGAGTCAGCTCTCGGAAAACACTGACATGTTTTTCCCTCCAGTGTTACAGTTCCTCATACCCCATACTAAGCTGAGGATATTTACTGTGGTTGATGTTGGTTGCTCCCTCCAGGTGTGCTGGCGATGGAGGCTCTACATCGACAGGTGCTGCCCTTCCTGCTGAGGAGAATGAAGGTGGACGTGCTCCAGGACCTTCCTCCCAAAATCATTCAGGACTATTATTGCAACCTGAGTCCTTTACAGGTACTTGTTTCCCTAAACTATCTAATGCCCAATTCCAGGGTCCACAGGCAAACAGTTGGTCTGTCATTATAAACACATTAACACTGTTACTGCTGCTTTTCATTGCTATTTGAAACATTTGAATTACCCTACGGGGATTAATACACTTCTGATTCTGATATTTGTTATAGTTATGTTGAAGTGTAACAACCTGGTATGTTTCCTCGCCACCTGCAGGTTCAGCTGTATGAAGACTTTGCAAAGTCTCGAGCCAAGGCCAGTGTGGAGGACACCATCTCTGTGGCCTCTACAGAAGAGGAGGAAAAGCCCAAACTGAAGGCTACAGGCCACGTCTTCCAGGTGCCCAGTTTTATTCTATTATTGTTCTGTTTCCTTGAGGTCTTAGCAATATGTTCAATTTATTACCCTCTTCCTGCTTTGTGCACAAGAGAAACATAACAGGGACACAGTCAGTAAAACTGTA